AAGGATAGATAATATTTATGGAACATATTTTAATTTTGAAATTGATTTGATTCTTGTCTTCAAGTGAAACTGAAAACCAAAACTGTAAGAGGCAATGAGTATGGATTATTAATGTTCTCAACATGTGCAGAGATACATACCAAGGGAGAAAAAAAATTAAAAGTTGTACAGAAAAATAATAATCATTGGTGAGATTAAAATACAAATTTCTACACTTGCCCTGGAAAAACAACAGCAACAAAGCTTGAGTCCAGCCCAGAACCCAAGGTATATTCTATAGCCATTATTCTGGTCTTCCCTGGGAAGCTTTCTCATTTCCCATCTTCTGGGAACATTCCAAGTCTCCTGGACATGAGGGGGTTAGTACATTATCTACTTAACAACTGAATAGTGTTCATTTTTGGTATTGATAATGTGAAATAGGTAGAAAAATATGATCCCTTCCCTCTGGAGTCTTGAAGCATAGGCTATCAAGGGTCATGTCCCCTAATATGTGGACAATTCTGGCCTGCCTGCAACAGGAGAGAATGAGGCCACATTCAAGGAGGACTAGAGAAAAGAGGTGGAGAGAGAGCCTGCTGGCATCGAATCCCTGGTCCCAGCCCCTAAGGCCCTGTTTCCTGAAGCTCCTCCTTCAATTTTGTGATTCATTCCCAGATCCTTTCCAGTTTTGTGAGCCACCAAGTTCCCCCTTTGCTTAAGCTAGTTTGCACTGGCTTTCTGTCATTTGCATCTGAAAGAGTCCTGGGTAGTGCAGTGCTTAGAACACAGTGGGTGAACACTGTTTCTATGAAACACCGGTGAGAACACTGGAAGGGGAAAGTGATGATTTTATCTAGTTCACTACCAGGGAGGTTGGAATCATGACACTTTCCTCTCATGGGTATACAGTTCTGGGAGGGGGGCTCCTATGCAGCACAGTGGCTTTAACACCCGATTCCAATACCACATTCCCACCAAGGCACAAAGTCTCTCTAAGGCCAAGATTCAATGTTGCCACCTCTGTCTTCCCAGAGTTTGGCACAACTAAGAATACAGTAGACTTTCATAAGAATGGAAAGAATAAAAAAGAAAGAAATGAAAAAGGAAATGGGGTTAGGGGAGGAACTTCATTTTATATTGTTTATGTTTTACCTGCAAATGTCCCATTTGGCATTTTTATTTTTTAGTTTTGAACTCCTTCCTTCTTAAGACGTATTGAAATGCATTCTTTCTCATTTGAGGTTTAACTTTTTTCTTTGCATGACAGCTAATCTCTTTTTACCTTTCTCTTTCTTTAATGGTCTATTCTCAATTTAGGAATAGCAGAATATTTCACTTTTAAAAAATACCCTTTTCTTTCTGTAATTAAGAAAAGTATTCAAAAAAGCAGGGCTGAATACCAACTCCCTTCTAAATAAAACTCTTAAATTATCTAATGGGAGGTCATAGAATCCATCATTTGAATTGAGTCTAGTATTTCTAACCAAAGAAGAACCAGGCTTGATTCTAATGGGGGATTGGCTTAGGTTAATCCTACTGGGTTGAGTTAGCATCAGGCCTGAGAACTCTAAGACATAAATCCATCAAGGCTTTGTTAAGGGCCCAAGGAATTGCCAACTCCTGATTTGGCACTCTGACTTAGTTTCCCATCATTTGGACACGAGGATTAAGCCAGACTCTAAAGAAAGCTACTCTTTTGCAGGAGAGACAGCTAAGTCAAAGAGAATAGTAGAAATTTCTTCTAAATACACTCAGAAAAATCATTTTAATGATATTCAGTTTGCATTTTTATTGAGGTGTTTCTATGTGCCAGGCACCTAGCTAAGTGCTAAAGTTGAAAAGAGGACTATGATTCAGTTCTGGCCCCTAAGTTACTCTCAGGGGCCTGGGAGGGAGAAAGCAAGTGGATTAACCATCCATGAACAAAACAATCTCTGCATGTTGATCTATTCTTCTGCTCTAGCATCATGTCAAAAACTTCTGTATGGAAGGTCTGTTTGGATATAAGACTGAAAATATAGCCTGTATGCATTTAAAACTTTTGCTCAAGGCAAGCCTATTGCATGGAACAGTGGGAAAACATAGGTTTTAGCATCAGACCTGAATAAATGTAGACAAATGTTAAAATAAATAAAATTGTAAAAATATTAATTCTGAAAGAAAAGCATTGTGTTTTGAATCATTGGAAGGTTGTATAATCACATTAAAAAAACTGAGGTATACAAGTCAACAATAAACATAGTAGGTAACCTGTTATGGAAGAACAAAGAGATATGTATAATATCTTCTCCGTCAATAATTTAAACCCTTTGCTTCTTCCTATGCAATCTAATTCATTCTTCATACTTTGCTATGTTGAAAGCCCAGCCCTCTAAGAAATGCTGCTGGAAGACTACAGCCTCTTTGGACTTCTTTCTTCTCTGACTTCTCTTGCTCTGTGATACTTTATGACAAGCCCCTTTCAGTGGAACTATTCTCTTTCTTGACTTCCCTATGTCTGCCCATAAGGTAGGAAGATCTCCCTTCTCAAAAGAGTTGGAAAGAAACCCTCTGTCCTCTTCTAGCCACTCTCTCATCCCCACTGGCTGCTTCCCAAGGGAGAAGGAAAAGTATTCTCAGTGGAGAGTCAGCTGGAGCCCAAGATCCTTAGTCCAGGTTCTCTACCAGGCAATGTTGAATGGTGGCCTCTGGCTGTCCTGTCTTGGCTGTCTCCAAGGAGAGCGTGCTCACCAGCCCTTGTGGTCTCCTTGGCACTCCAGTGCAGCTGCTCAGCTTGTTTACAGCTGGGGAATGTAATTCACGGGCAATGAAGCAGGAAACCCACCTGCTCTTAGAACCAAGAGGCATTCTGCCCTCTTGTTTTACCCTTACGCAAAGGGTATCTGCATTCCTGTCTATTTCCAAGTTAGTTTAGAACTTTTACAGGAGACAGATCAGATTAATTGGCTCCCTCATATCCTACAGTCCATATTAATTACTTTTCTGTTTTCTAATTTTAACCTACCATTTAGTGCTTCGTTATATCAGTGTTTTATGCTGAAATGGATGGATGGATGAAGATATAGACTGATGGGTTATTTGATATATGAACAAGTTGATACTGCCTTGATCACTAATTATACCATGTGTCTTTGTCATGTAACAAAGTAGATAATAAATCCTTCAGGGGCTGGGACTTACGTTTATGCTTGTTTTATAAATCTACTCCCAGGATCACATTTCTGTACAAAGTAGCCACTCATTAATACTTGTCTACAATAACTTTATAGAAATCTATAATTTTTAAAAAGGGCATACTCAGATATCATCTCAATATTCACAATGATCCTATGTAGTAGAAAAGATTATTATTATTATTCCTATTTTTCAATTAAGGAAACAGGTCCAGAGAGGAAAAGGGACCTGCCCAAAGCCACGAACTAGTAAGTCATTAGGGCAGCAGCATGACTCCACTGAGCCTCTGCCTCGAGCCCGTGTCTTCTCTGCTCATCGCCCTGCTTTGCCCCCTCATTCTGTTTTACTTTATCAGTACTGAAATGTTATGAACTGAAAAGAACATGGGTTTCTGCAGGAGGTGGTCCCGGGAAAGCAAGAGTAATATAAATATGAGGGCAGGCAACTCTGTCTACGTAATGACAGACGGCAGTTATGCATCATCGCGTTTAATCTACACAGCAATCCTAGGTCGACAATGTTATCATGAAGAAATTGAGGCGCAGAGAGGTTGAAAGCCAAGTTCACCCAGTGAGTGGTAGAGTAAAGAACTCAAATCAGGCGGTTTGGTACCAGAGCTTAGGCAAATACAATAAAAGGGATTTGCAAGGATAGCAAATCTTCAGCTATATATATAATAAAGAGATGGCAAGTGGGAAATAGTCCTACAGCAAATGTGAGATGACAGAAGAGAAAAGAGGGGGTAAAAGAAGAAAAATAAGGGCCGCTAACCTGGATGTGCAAAGGAAGATGCTGACTCAGTCATTCCTGGCTGGGGAACTTACGCTGGTTTAAGAAGGGATTAAGTAAGCAAAGTTCGGCTCACTCTTACATAATATGCCTGCTGTTGGTTCTTTTTGTGTAAGATAGTGAATTATTAAAAGAAAGTAAAGTAGAATGTTATAAATCATCACCCCAAGCTATTCAAAAAGCACGGAACTTTCAATTTCATACATTAGAAATGGAAAGGGGAGAGTGTCTACCTTTTTATACAACGTTTCAAGTTCTGTCTTGATGCTTTGCTCCTGCGTTAACACTGGGGGCCTCGAAGGAAACGGCTTGATGGGGTTTGGCAGGGCTAGGATCCTGCCATCATCTCCAAACCACCTTCTCCCCTGTGGATCAAGGAGAGGGAAGGACAACATTTTCTTCTAATTGGACAGAAAGTGGTTTACGTAACAAACAAGATTTGTAGGAATATTCCCTGTCAATATATACATTTCACGTACTTCCCCCACCCCGATTGAACTTTAAAATTCTCTATTTCCATCAGAAATCAAGTTTTCAATAACAGCCCCCACAACTAATTTAAGAGATAGTCCCTGGCCCCTTAAACAAAAAGTTTAAGTAAAAGCTTAAATGAATCCTTAAGAAAAAATATCTTTTCCATTCATTAAATATTTAAGGAAAAAAAAAAAAAGAACAAAAATCTGAAACTGAGACCATTCTATATATAGGCAATTAAGCCTAGATCCAGCTAGGAGAAGATGGGTTTTGAGCAGTTGAGAGGTTATATCATTTGAGGATCACTAAATATACTGAGAGAGAAAGTTAAAAAGAAAAAAATGAACCACTTTCTCTAGACTTAAGGTAGACAACTTCAAGAGGAAATGAGTACAGTGGATGCAATGACTGTCCCATCAGGAAGAAAACTTGTGTGTCGAGGGTGCCGGGGCTATGCTTGGGAGCAGAGATGATTACTCACAGGCTCCTGCGTCAGCAGTCTGTTCTCCATGATGTTCTGATTGGTGCGTGCCACCTCCGGCCTTTCCCCAATGTAAAGGCCTTCGTCTTCCAGGAATCTGGGCTGTACATTTTCAGGAAGCTTTTTATAGGTAGGCACTAGACAGTTCATAAATAACACAAACATTATTGCCAACCTACACATTTCAAACTGCATTTTGGTGAATTAACTACCAGAGATTTCATTTATGTTCTTAGAAACTGCAGGTTTATTGAAGGAATATTTTTCCATGTTCTGTATTTTTTGTCTGAAGATATTTCTCCATTATTAAATCAGATTAGAAACTGAAATCAGTTTTGGGAATGAGGCATCCTATACACCAGCCCTATTTCATTACAAGGAAAATGACAGTGTCTTAAGTTGGGCAAGACAATAAACAGAGCAAGTACCTGTCAGCCTACTGGGTATGAAGAGCATCTCCTTTTCCCTCTGCAGCCGCACATGGACGCTTTCATAATCTGCAGGTCTGACTGCCAGAAACTCATTGGCCGTGTGATCTAAGCCCAGTAGGAAGTTCTCAGCATCTTTACCATGAGGCAGCTCTTCCTCATCCTGCATAATGTTAAAAAATAACAAGGAAAAATCATGCTAAGATTCTTAGTTTACTTAGAAAAATAATCAATGATACTAAACTTACCAAAAAACATATTCTATAAAATTATTTTTTTCTTTCTTTTAATGAAAACATAGAACTATATGACCTTTCATATTTAATAAGTGGGTCTTCATTGATTGTTTTTCACTGTGCTATGTACCTGGAAGATGTTGAAATCAGAGAGGCTGGATCAGAAGAAAAGTGGTAAGTAAAGCAGTCGAATTCCCAACAAATCTGGCCTCCTTTGAAGGTGCTTATTTTTTGACATTTATTCAAGGAACTTGGGCTCATAACTTATGTAGCAATTTAACCTTCCAGCTGGCACCAACCCAAGGGAAAAGGCACGGAGCGTGTAGGAGCAGAGTCCACGTACTCTGTTCAGACTGCCTGAGTTTGAATCCCAGCTTCACCTCATACTGCCTAGGGGCTTGAGGAACTTATTTAACCTACTCTTCCTCGGTTTCCTCAATTGTAGGGTGGATATTTTAATAGAGCTTACCTCTTAGCACTTTGTGCGGATAAAATTAAATGATGCATGTAAAAATTCTAAGCATAGGGGTTATAATCACAAATGTTAGCTGAAGTATGTTAATTTTGTTTGAATCTTTTTCAAACTTTTCCCCTTCTTTTTTTCCTTCTCTTTCTTCCTCTTCTTCTTTTTCCTTTTCTCTTTCTCCTTCTTTTAAATATTTAAACCTGGTATCGGCTTATGAGCAACATCTTTTAAAATCCTGTGCAGACTTCCAGTTAGCCGAAGACGATGGTGGTAGCCTCGCTATCTGCCTCCTAATAATTTCTCCCCTAGTACCCAAAACAATAAGGGAAAAGCAAATTTACTTGGAAACCATGCTTTCAACATAACTTGAAGACAGAGAAATGCCAAAACATCAAAAAAGTAAAAGGAGAAAATCAGCAAATAGCAGTATGCAATCTTCCTTGCTCCTAGCTTCTCACCTCTGCTTTGTGGTGAGCAAAGTCAGATGGAGAAAAAGTGCAGAGACGACAGAAAAGCGAAGCTAGTGGAGGGGCCTATGGATGATCTAAAACTTTGTTCAAAAAGACTATATCTACCTTGAGTATGAAAATACTTAAAAAGTATCTGGGCAGGCAAGAACATGCATGGACTATGGGGAGGGGCTTCAAACTTTGTGTGGTCTTGGAGAAAAGTGTCATGATTTCAGAAGATGCCCAAAAATTGAGACTTGCATTTTCAAAAGGTGGAGCCTAATTCTCTTCCCTGGGAGATTGCACACTACTTCCTGACTTGCTTCTAACGAGAGGAATATGGCAGAAGTGACGGTATGTGACTTTTGAGACTAGGTCCTAACAGGCACTGTGGCCTCTCCCTTGGGTTCTCCCCCAGATCACTTGCTTTGGGGGAAGCCAGCTGTCACGTTAGGAGGACACTCAAGCAACATCATGAGGAGGTCCACAAGGCAAGGGTGAATGAGCCACCTTGGAAGCCAACCCTCCACTCTCAGCCTGCAGATGACTGCAGTGTTGGCCATTTTGTCTGTAACCTCATGAGAAATCCTTATGAGAAAGCCAGAACAAGCTGAATACTGATTTGTAAAATAATTATTATGAAATAAGCTGAAATATTCCCAAGCTTCTCTAGACCTAGGTAAGAAAATACATTTCTGGGAAGCATCTTTCAAGGGAGGAAATTGTAAGTTAAGCACAGAAATATGCCAACTATGCAAATTCTGGAATGTTCTGGTATGTTTTCCTTTTTTTAAAAATGTGGTAAAATACACATAACTTAAAATTTACCATTTTAACCATTTTTAGGTGTATAGTTCAGTGGCATTATGTACATTCACGTTGTTGAGCAACCATCGTCACCATCCATCTCCAAAACATCTTATCTTCCCATACTGAAACTCTGTACCTATTAAACAATAACTCTCCATCCCCTAGGTCCGCCAGTCCCTGGCAACACTATTCTACCTTCTGTCTCTATGATTTTGACTACCCTAGGTACTTCATATAAGTGAAATCATAATATTTGTTCTTTTGTGACTGACTTATTTTGCTTTCCATAATATCTTCAAAGTTCATTGGTGTTATAGCACGTTTCAGAATTTCCTTCCTTTTTAATGTTGAGTAATATTCATATATGTATATATATATATAACACATTTTGTCTATCCATTTATCTGTCAATGAACACTTGGGTTGCTTCTACCTTTTGACTCTTGGGAATAATGCTGCTATGAACATGAGTGCACAAATATATGTTAAAGACCTTGTTTACTATGTTTTTGGTTATATATTGTAATTCTGTGTGTAAATTTTGAAGAACCATCACACTGTTTTCCACAGCAGCTGCACCATTTTACATGCCCACCAGCAGTGCACAAAAGTCCAATTTCTCCACATCCTCTATAACATTTATTTTCTGTTTTTTGTTTTTGGATAACAGCCATTCTAATGGGTGTGAAGTGGTATTTCATTGTGGGTTTGATTTGCATTTCCCTAATGATTAGTGATGTTAAGCATCTTTTCATGTGCTTATCGGCCATCTGCATATCTTCTTTGGGGAAATGTCTATTCAATACCCTTTCCCATTTTTTAATGGTGTGTTTTCCTTTTATCTCACACATACCACCCACAATTACAGAATCTGAATTGCAGCCTGGGCATGGTATTGGGCACAAAAAGCTGCTCACTTGTAAGACTGGGGAGAGAGAAAGACCGAGGTTTCGTTTGCCTTGGAAAGACACACATTTTGCGTGTGAAATGAATACTAATCACTGCATGGAGTCCAGCAGGAAAAATCTGCAAGCCATGTCATTCCAATATTTTTTTCCACAAAAGAAAGACAGATTTAATCAAAGTCCTTACTACCCAAATTGTGGGGTATATTCAAGAGCTACAGAAAACCATGTGAATCTGGTACTTCTGCTTTCAACTAAGACATGGATGGGTTGTCGTATGTGGTGGTGGCTGGTTTCTCCCCAGTCACTTTCTTCCTTGGGGGATATCGCCATCATTTTTCCTTGAAGTGCTCCTCCCCTCCCCGTTACCATCACGGTATTGAATACCATTCTGTTGGCTCCTTCTTGTGCTGGTGGCTCTTCCTCCCCTTCCTCCTCCTCTTGGTTAGTTCCATCTTGATGTTTTGGTTTTTCCTCTGCTTCCTCTGGTTCAGGATCAAAGGTGAAAGTAAAGAAATTATAGGCCTCTTCTGCAGAGGGGAAACCAGGTGGAACCTAAGGAGAAGCAAGGGGCAATAGTAATTTCTGATTTTTAAAGTGAAATGACCTTCGCACAGTTAACTGACAGCGGGCTTGACGCTAACGATGTCAGGCACATTCTAGGCCTCCTAAGCGTCTTATCTTTGTTAAAGGTATGAGATTACTGGTAATGAACTGTTAACAACAGGTACAAGAGGTGCTTGGAGGCCTCCTTTAATAGTAACTCTGATTAGTTACTTTTTAAAAAACCAGCAAGTATTTACATTCAAATAAGAACATAAATATATTATTTACAGAAGTAAATGCTTCAGAAAAGATTATTAAAAGCCAAAAAGTGGACTCATTGTTTTAAAGGCCAATGCTGAGATAGTTTTAATTATGAGAAATATAGAATTTGATAACATTTTCTTCAAGAAAAGACTTTTCTAAAAAATTCTTCTTGAGTTAATATTCTTATTTCCATAATGAAAGCTGGTGTAATTTTGAGCTGAACAAATTGTCCTATCACTGATATTTCCTGTCCTTCCATGTACCCCGACCTCCTCCCTCAAATCAGGCAGTATTCTAATTCCTCTAGCTAGATTTTAGGATTTTCAAAGTATGAATTATTTCTCGTACTTTTTTCTTGCATACTCCATGGCAACAGGAGTCAGGTTATGTATGTAGTCATTTCTTATTGGATATTTTTGAAAAACACGAACAAACAAACATGATTTAAAAAGACAGGATTTCTTACCTGGGGTTTAGACTTGATTTTTCGTGCAGAAACATGAAACTTTACTCTTGAATAGCTTTGGGAATCATCTTCTTGTTGAGTGCTTCCTACCTCTTTACCTGACTATACGAGTGGAAAAAATGATAGATAAACCATTTAAATCAAGAAACTTAGGATGTTCTAAAATGAGGGTTAAATCTCCAAAGGCTTATTATCTTCTGATCTTGATTCATCTCATCATTACTAAAGAATGAAATGCTTACAAATTTTGAATACAGTCAGATAGTGTACTGCATAATGATGGACCACATTTATGATGGTGATCCTGTAAGATTATAATTCTGTATTTTTACTGTACATTTTCTATGTTTAGATACACGAATACTTACTGTTGTGTTACAATTGCCTATGGTATTCAGTACAGTAACATGCTGCTGTGCAGATCTGTACCTAGGAGCAATAGTCTATAGCTAGGTGTGCAGCAGGCTGTAGCCTCCAGGTTTGTGTAAGTACACTCCATGATGTTCGAACAATGACGAAACTGCCTAACCACACATTTCTCAGAACACATCCCCATTGTTAAATGATGCATGACTGTATCTTTGAAGGTTAAGCTTGCTGAATATTTTCTTACTCAACTCTTGTCTCTCTCAAGACTAAATACAAAATTTTATATTCAGTAAATCCTAAAATGAAAAGCGTTATTTCATCCTATAGAGTCATAGATTATTCAATTCACAGAGGATCATTTTTAAACAGTCTGTAAAGAAAAGCATCACTAATGTTTGATTGTAAATAAATCCAACATACGCCCCTCCAGGGCACAAGGCCTGTCCTTCTCACTGAGCCTGCAGACCTGCTGTCCACACTGGTGAGCTGAGCCTTCCGACTCTACCTGCTCGATGTAATAATTATCTTAATGGGTGTTTGCTTTCTCTTCTGAGAGCCAATCCACAAGGTGCTATTTCCACCTTCTAATCCATCTCTCCTTCTAATCTACCCCTTCTAGAACCTGGCTACTCCTCCTTTTCACCTTGCATAATCCAAATGCCAAGCCCTCCTTTTGAACAATTCTAAGCCATCCCAGTAGTGTATCTAGATATTCATATTAAGAAGGGACAAACTTATTTTACCTATGACAGAAACTCAATCATTAGTATCTGCGCTGAGACTTATCTTACAGCAAGGAATAATTTTCACCCAACAATGGCAATTTAGTATACTTCCCTGGGGACCTTCAACATATCCTTCCCAAGTCCTACCTGTTTTTTGAGACCATGCAAAGCTACTTCCTTTTTCAGACTACTCCACCGTAAGATGAATTCACTTTTTTCCAGAATCTCATTGTCTGGTTTATATCAGGCACTGTTCTATAGAGCTTGGTAATTGAAACCATCAGCTCTGGAGTCTGACCACTTGGTTTTGAATTCTAACTCTAACACTTAGACCACTTGGTCTGAGCATCAAATAAAGTAATGTACATGAAATAGAACCAATTAGGCTATTTAATGATTTTATTATTATCACACATCATTAGTTTTCTTCTTACGTGTCTTTCCACCATCTCCTAGTTTGTATCATATAACGTGAATATAAAATGTTGCATTTTAGCCTGCCAGAAACCAGAGCCTGAGGCAAGAGTTTTTGTTTGTTTGTTAGTTTATTTTTTGTGTCTGTGGCTGATTTTAAGAAGTCATACCAAAGAACAGGAGTTAGGGACTAGGAAGAATAAAACGGGATGGAAAGTCAATTCAAGAGAACTTTATTGAGCTGGCTGTGGGCAACAGAGTTTCATCCCACTGGGGATCCTCTGAGGAGACAGGTAGAATGCTTCCCAGACTTGTATGCCTGGGACATGGATGAGGGGGATACTTGTCTAATGGCTTCCCTCCACCCAAGTGGTTGTTGGGGCTCAGAAACCGATACCCGAAATATGGCACTTCAACATGCTGACCTGAATAAGAGGCCTCAGTCTCTCTCTGACATTTCCCCATCCTGGCTCTCAATTCTCTGTCTCTCCCTAAGTACAGGACAAAGTTGTTCTCTGAAGTTCCCTTATCTGCCTGAAGTCTGGATCCTCAAAGAAGAAAACAATGACCTCTGGTTCCTTCCCTGAGTTTTCATTAGCTGAACTCATATCACAGGAAGAAAGACTGAAGTCTGTTAACACACCTGGACAGAGTTTAGTCACAAACCATTGTCTGCTCTGCAGGCCCAACAGACTTTGTGTGTTCTTCAAACTGGTTGAGTTCCCCTAACAATCATATACTACCCCCTTAAAATCATCCACACTTTCCCTATCTCCCTTTTCCCTAGGAAGAAAGGTACTTAACCATCTGTACCCCATTGCCTGGTGGGGTAGTTCCTCTGTGATTTTCCCCCTGTGCCTGTTCACAGATTTGCATACCTTTTCTCCTATTAACCTGCCTTTTGTCAGTTGATTTTCAATGGACCTTCAGAGGTAAAGGGGAAGTTTTCCCTTGGCCACTACATGGTTGAGGATTGCCCCAGAGGCTTAGCCCCTGGAGCTTCCCAGTCTTGTGTATGTATCAGAATAGCTGAGCCCACTCACAGGCCCTTTCATAGGCCTTCCACAGAGGCAGGGATACCCCTTGGATGAAAGCTAGAGGTACGTGGTATCGCTAAGTCGAGGTGCTGTAAAATTTCACCTATGTGGAGCTTGATGTCCAGCAATGACAAGAATAAAAATGAGGTTGTCAGTTGGGTTTAATCTATCATAAAATCAAGAGAATATATACAGTTCCCATGTATGTAAAATTATATACTTTTCCTCTGTTTTCTCATTTTGCAGTGTTAAGAGTAAATAGTTATCAACCAACACAGTTGTACAAAAGTTGAAGCTGTGCTGATGAATGCATTCCATAATGCAATACAAAATAAAGGAGTTATTATTTGTCTTGGTAAATTCCAAAAGTTTAAATCTTGTTTTTGAGGATGAGGAAAGAAGCAGATGACTATTACACAGTGCAAGGATAAGCAATCCAAAAAACTAAGTAGAATAAAGCTCAGATTCCTGTGTTTGGTCAGGAAGGCTTTCTAAAATTCTGCCAGGTCCAGTCACCTCGTAAAATAGGGCTAAGACTTTCTCACACATTGTTGATGATGCCATTCTATTCTTGTCTGCCTCAGAATCCCCCATCTCCTGTAGCCTAAGACAGAGACGGATGTGTTTGAAAACACACAAAACAAACCTGGAGGCCAACCCATGAGAGAGGAGAGAAACTTGGTTCTATATAGGCAAACCTTGGCTTTTAGAGATCTGTGAAGATGATAATAAAACACAAGACCAGGCAGAAATTCTAACATTGGTAGTTTAGAAAATAAGTAGTTTAAATTCCATATGGCAACATACGTATATGGAAATTAATATTTTATTCTTTTTTGTTTCTTCCTACTTGGTTGGTATAGAAGATAAGTTCAGATAATATCATTTCATTGATTTATTGCAGTATTGGTTTATTACAATATTTATAAACTTGATAAAAAGTATATAATTTAAAATTTTTATCAAAATCTAAAAAAATTAAAAGTAAATTATATCAGTACATTTAAGGCCATTAAATATATTAATACTTAAAACAATTGAGTATACTGAATTAAATTTTAAAGAACTATTATCTATAATACATTTGTATGATCATAAAGTAATAATTATATTCAAGTTTAGTCCAGCAATCAAGTATTGAGTGCCTGTCTTCATATGTGCATGCATCCAGCTAGGAATTCCTTTTCACTCTTAAATTTGTTGACTCTTCCAAGAAGGCTATATTTAGGGCCCTCTTCTAACTCAAGCTAGACCATCTCAAGTCTAGTTGAACTTACTATAGCATAATTACAAAGTACGTTGGTTGTAGCCCAGGTCTCTCTTCTAAGTTATAATCAATGTTTTCATTTTCCTTAATGATACCCAAAAATGGTTGTCTTGCAGACCCCTCAAATTTTTATATTTTCTTAATACTGGTCCTGATACTAATCAAGATACATAATTTGCAAATAAATTCCTTCATTCCATATGTTATCTTTTTACATTCTTGATGGTTTCCTTTGAATCACAAGTTTTTAATTTTGATGAAGTCTAATGTACCTATTTACCCTTTTATGGCTTGTGCTCTCAGTATTATATCTAAAAAAAATTGCCCAGTCCAAGATACATCAAATTTTATATAACCTGACTCTAAGGCTGAGGTTAGATGCCATTTTGGTGGGCTCCTTATGACACCCACCACAGAACCATACCACCCTGTACCTCCACTGACTGTGGATGTGTCTGTCACCCCCATCGAGCTCCTCAAGAGGAGGCTGTGATCGCTGTGTGTTCAGAGGCCACTAGAGACCTGGCAATAGCCTACAGACGCTGGCTGGGTGACAGGTGGAGTGTGTTAAAGGACCACATCTTAGGTAACCTGGGACAGTGAACCAGGGAAACTTTGGTCATATCTAGTAGAGGCTGAGTTTTCAAGTGTTCTCTGTTACTTCCACTTTGATATTTATGTATTCTTATAGATTTGCATTTGTTCTCTTATTACAAGTCTGCTGAATACAAAGTGAAAAGAAATGCAAAAGAGATTAAGTAGTGGTTTGTGTTGGTAAATTTGGATTACTGACCCAAGTATTCCCAACTGGTTTCTACTTTTGTCTCTGACTATACAGGCTCCAATGGGTACCTAATATTTAAATAGATAGGGCTCATCATGTGCCAGGTCCTGTGCAAAACACTGCAACATGTATTAATTTATTTAATCCTCAAAACAATATGTAGAGTTAGGTTCTGGTATTATCCCTATTTTACAGAGGTGGAAAGTGGGGTCCAGAGAGTAGCTAAGCTACATATCAAAGGCCACACCACTAGTGAGTGAGGTTTTCAGCATTTAGCCCTGGGCAGCTGAGTTCTAGCATCTGGCCTCTGCATGTGCCTATGGTCCTCTCTGACTAGTAGGATATAAATGGACCATTTTTAGGATATTCCTTCTGGGTTTTAGGTGCATACATGAAGAAATGTGCTTGCAACTTGTTCTATTATGAATATGAGATCAGGTCTAAAGATAAGCAGTTGATGTTTGCCTCAAAGCCATGAGAATGGCTCTTATGGGATATGGAATAGAATGGCATATAAGCCAGGGTCTTGAGCACAAGGAGAAATGGAGACATAAACACCCATTAGCCAAGGGAGGATGATTTTACTTCTAGAACTTCCCACTGTATTTGAGATATCACTATCCATGGTCCGTGGACAGTGAGAGCTATATGAATAGTAATATCTAATTTTTGAAATGATTTTGTGAAGTGATTACCAATCAGAAAGTAGAGAAAAAGCCAGATAAAAGGGGCCAGAACCCTCTCTTGACTACCCAACTTGACCAGATGCTGAGCCTCTCATACCTACTAAAATAACCAAAGTATTTGTGTCAAGGTGATGGGATTTCACGTATTTTTTCTCTATTTTCCAATCCTTTAAAACAAATACTGGCTTTTATAATAAAGAAAATAAGTTGGAATTCAAGAAAAAGAAATGTCTTCTCAGTAGAATGGATCCTGAAGGCACATAGCAAATTACTGTGAAGCCATTTCATTGGATTGGTGTTCCTACTAAAGACCACAAAACATAAACAAGACTGCAACTTTCCTTGTAATCATGCAATTTGTGGCCTGCTTAGAATGAATATAAGAAACATTTTATACCATCTCATCAGAGAAAAAGAAAAGGCATCATTTAAGAAATCAGGGGTTGTATTACAGAAATATCCCTAAAGCCTGTGCTGTTTGGTCTCAACGGTTAAAAATAACTCAAACCAAGAAAAACAAAAACAACGACGAAATAATTGGGTTGGACTTGCAAATACTTCATGAGCCACGTGCTCTGTTTTTCTTTCCATTCCTTCTTCTGCACTCTGAGTGCTTGTCCTTTACTTACATTTCTGACAATCTTTGTTTTCCTGGCTTCCTCTGCTCCTCCAGGGTCTTAACTGTAAAGTTTTCTCCAAGTGTCAAGACCCTCCTTGTTTGGTCTTCTTTCCCTCGGGTAACAAAGGTGCTTCCAAAACTTCAAAACTCACTGCAGTAGTAATACTTTCTAAATCTGCTTCTCTGGGTCTGGTCCCTTCCTCTCTACATGTCTCTGGAGGAATCCACATTGAGATTCCGCACCAGCACCTCAGATTCAAACAATAATCACTCCAGTGCTTCCGCCTCCCCAACCTGTTGTCAATAGCTTTCCATGGCTTACAGGAAACCACTGAGACTCTTCAGTGTGACACTAAAGGCCCCCTGCCATCTGACCCTACTGCATTTTTACTGTCTCTCCGCTTTCCAGCAAGATCCATGGATCCAGCAACACTGAGTCAACGAGACACACCAGGAATGAGATAGAGCTGGGAACAGATCCCAATTCTTCCATACACATGCTCTGTGACCTGGGGACGGCTTCCAGCCACTCTGAACCTCAGTTTCCTCATCTGTCAAATGTGAATAAAAATAATAGTACATACCTAGTAGGGGTGTTGGGATAATGTAATGTGAAAACAAGGGACTTGGCAAAATGCCTGCCACAGAGTAGTAACCTATCAATAGTAGCTATCGTCATTATTAATAAGCATTTAACATTTTTTCTGTGTATAGCTCTGTTCCAGAAACTTTTGCTGGAGACTACATTCTGCTTTACTGCCTTTGTTCACAAAGTTGAGATAGTCCATTTCTTACCTCTGTGCCAAATTCAGTCTCCAATTCTTTCACACTGGGACTCCGTAAGCGCCTAGGTCGAGGGGTGGGAATTTCCTGTAGCAATGCACTTTCTGCTTTGGACTAAAAAGTCAAACAGAAAATTACTGCTACATAATGTCAAGAATGCTATAAAAATCTCAGTTGCCATCTCAGTAGAGAATAATCAGTAAAAAACACGTTGTACCTCGTTAAGGGGTAAGAGCAAGGAAAATGGTTTAGAAAATGACATTAAATTCTTAAGCATAATTTTCATTTGTGCCAATGCAAAAACAACATTAACATTTAAAACTTGAGAGATAAATTGAATGGTATTCAAATCCATGCAGTTTGGAGCACACAAAGCAAGCTAGACAAGCCCGGAAAACTGCAATCAATACCAAATGGAATATTCATGTGGTTTCTCTCACCCTTGCTGCTTGTAATTTCTCTCTCATGCGTTCCCTCATGGAAAATTCTGCAAAGCCTATTCTGGAAGCTGAAGGAATTGGAGGTAAGCCTAAAAAATAAAAATAA